AGCATATATTTCGCCCCATGCGACTGACCCGCCGCTGCCACTACTGTTGCAGCCGCCGCCCGGCATTACTCGATCAGTTCCAATGCTCCAGTCGGGTCATCGTTACCCCTATTGTGGCGTACATAAAATACATAAGAAGAACGGTTTGAAGGCTGAGCCTAGGCTCATTGCACCGTCACCGAAATAAGATCGGTCTCCGTCTACTACGAAGACATTTGAGTTGCAGCGTACGGAAAACAAGTTATGCTGGTTCCGATAATCTATCCGTGTATGTTTGTATTCGTATTTTGCTGATGTTTACCGTTGTTAGTTGGAGAGGAACATCACTGTTTTCTGCCATAATCTCGACCTTCCTACTCGAGTCAGCTTTGCGATCTCGTTCTACTGGAATCGCCACAACCCGTTTCTACTTGTTTTAAGGATAACATGCAATTCTTTCCGTTCCGACTCATCAGTTTGCTCACGAACAGGACAGGGTTCACCGTTTAATGAATCGTGATTGGTCATTGTCGCTTGTCATCATTTGATTTCTTATTATTGTTTATGATCTTGTATCTGTCAGTGGGGTCTAAGTTTTTGCTACTTGTCCTGTGCGATGATCTTTTTGGATGTCGATTAATTACCGTCCTCTGAAACCGAACGATTTAAATACTACAATCGGCGGTTAAACGATAGATTCATATCCTTCTCCTTCTTGCTACAGGAAGTATGACTGATGCTTATCCGCTAGTTGATCATGACAGCGAATTCTATAGTTTTCCGATAATTTCATTACGGTAAATATGGAGTGCTTCACCAATTCCCTTGAGAAAATGGAAATGTGTCATGTCAGTCCGGATATATCACCATCATTGTAAGATATTAGTTTTTAAGATTAAATCCTTGTCATTATCCTTTTTTGAAAGTTCTATCACCGATCTCACTGATCTTTGGTTAGTTTCGGGCGATAGGCTTGTGTGGGGTGTTATAATGTCTCTTTTCGTTTCCTAGGATGTTTTTGGCACAAGGAAAATGTTCTTTCTGGATCAAATTCAACCTTTTTTTGCGTTGCAACAGTTTTCAATAGTACTCGATGCCATATGGTTTTATTTTCCACTTATATATATTCTGGAGCCATTTTATCCGTATATCGTCTTTCTAAGTGTCTGTCTACTGATTGTGTTATTACTTGATACGATTTTGCGTAATCCTTTGTTTCACTGTGTTTTTCTCCCCTTCGTCCCATTACGGTTTCTGTTTTGTTTCTTCCGTCTGTTATTTTCACCGTTCCATTTCCTATCTGTTATTTTTCTCCTGTATCCATCTCTTCCACCTCGTTGTTATTATTAACTGCTTTCTCCACCTATCCGAACGTTTTCTGACTTCGTTTTGGTTTTGTTGCTATGGACGATTTACTCGTTTGTACGGGTTCCTCGACCTCGTTGTATCTGACCAATGCCTATCTCCTCACCTGTTGACTACTACTGCGTTGTTCTGTTCTCTTGCATTATGCGAATCTATCTTCTTTACCCTTCGTTTTCTACGCTTTTGTGTCATTCCATGTGTGACATTCAGTTACTTCCTTGGCTTCCTTGAAATTCAAGTTTTCGGATCTTTTAGCCCCAGCTCCCGGGGGGGGAACAGGTATAGTTGATCAAGGGTGAATCCTCTCGAGGAAATCCTCATCGCCTGTTCGTTTGCAACCTGGTTCTGTTTCATTCATACTGAGTGATTTGTTCTAGCAGTTGCGTACCTCGTTTGGTAATGTTGCATCTTTAACTACGTTCATGCCTGTGCCAAAGGATATCCACTTCTTCGGTGCCTATCAACCATCTCCATCGAGCTAAATGATATTGTGACTTTCACCCTCCCTTACTCATGGACACATTTGTTTCATCATTGGGACAAGCATCGCAACTATCATCATCATTATCCCCCACTTCATTAATACCGCGTTGTTCATCCCCTGCAGATTTTATCGTTTTTATCGTTTCGTTTTCTTTATCCGGTTTTATTTGTTCGGGGTGCATTCCTAAGCCGGTCTCAGTTTCTAACCTCTTCCTCACACATTGCTCGTCACAAAAGTGACGAGGTGAAAACCTAATGTTTGACTGTAGAAAATCCTCAGTAAATTAATGAAAATGCTCGATCTTATACCAGAGGTTGGCATTTGCATTAAACTTTCCCCATATTTGCGATACCCGGCGAATCGACTATCGCTGTTTATGAGACTAGCGTTTGTGCTTGTGTCGATTCGCCTGCATGTATTTTCTAAACTGCTCTTTCTCACCAAGTTTACTTGCACGTGAGTTAGAGATAGAAAGAGGAAATAACCGCAATTCCCTTGAGTTGGTGAATCACAACTGTTTCGTTTACGTGCACCTCGAGCTATTTTTTCTTTGGCTTCTATCACATATCTTCAATAACACTTCATAATTTCGCATGTTCCATTGCCCGTCGAACTGCACACATTTGAGTAAGATATCAATAATATAAAAGTGGCCCTATCAAAGTAGGTGACATTACTGTTCATAGTGAGTCTTAGTCTCTCTAAAGAGACATTGTCGATATTGCATGGGATCTTACGTATCGTTGTGCCGCTTTTTGTGTAGTATGAAAACTTGACAGTTACGGTCTTCCTAAATTTATGGGAAGCGTTCTTCGAAACCATCGGAAGCTGTATATTTTCTGTTTTTCAAGCGTTATGCAGGTGATACTGAGAAATAGACTCGAAGTTTAGTTCTTTTAAGCGAAGCGAAATTCAACTTCATTGGCTGTGATTCAAAATCGATATATCTCACCTTCGTGTGTCTAATCGCTCAAGATAATATTCGAGTGCTAAAGGTAATGGAAACATGAAACGCTGTTTATGGCCAGGTGGTCATTTTTACTCAACGAAATATAATTGTTTTCTCTGCCTTGCAGTCCATCGTCACCTTTTTCTTTTAATTCTATTGCTGTGCCGGGCTTTGCTGTCCTCATTTTCGATTGTCTCACTCCTTTACGGGATTGGGTTTGCAAACAACAATAGCCCATGCATGATGTTCGATAACATCTTTTATGAACCGCATTATACTCTATCACATCGGTTGTTGTTGTAGCTATTTTGTTTCCGATTCCATTCTAGGCGCTTCTATGGCTGCACGGAAAGAGGTCATTCGTAATAAGATTCGAGCAATCGGCAAAATGGCTCGCGTTTTCACAGTGCTCAGGTACGTTCCGGTCGCCTTCTTGGCATGTTGCCACACTTGGCCAATTATTGTCTGGATGCCAGGTGATGAATGGACGTTTCTTTTCAAGTTTTGCCATCAGTTTCTTTCCTTTGGGGCTCGATGGTGACTTCACAAACCTCTTGGTCATCGTGAAGACGCCGAGATCTTTTTAGTAGTGTTCGCTATTCAATTATGAACGGGCAGCCGTTCCACCAAACGCCTTTTTACGTGTTTCCTTTTACTGACGAATACACTTTTTTGTGTGTACTTTTCTCATTCTAAGTCGAGTGTTGTCTCTTTGAGTTATCAGAGTAAAATTGGATAAGTATAAGATTACAGCAGCGGAAGAAATGCTTGTGAATAATCACTTGTTTCAAGGCAATTATATGTATTTTTAAAAAATCTTCATTTACTAATCAGGCCAAAATGAGCCGATTCAACCAAAGGATGATGGTGCTCAACCATAGGACATTCCTTCAGTTCTTAGACCACTCACTTGTCCAAGCCAGAGTGAGCGATTGGCTAGTTGATGAACTTCTCCCTGAATCTATGGTTGAGGCGTCTAGTTTCCACCGTGGTAGATTGGTGCGTGGCCTCTGTCATCCTTTGTGATTAATTGTTCAGCCACGGGATCTTTGGAGACAGCTCACAAATCCTAATATCCGAATTCCTCATATCGTCCATTTGATCTCATGGTTGTTTCATCTGAGGTCTACCAGCACCTGGCATGTCTCCCAAATTAACCAAAATGGCTCGTTGGTTGTCAGTCCGCGTCAGTTGGAGCTTCCTCTCCTAGAGAGGGTTTTATTTTTGACCTCGAAGGGTGTAATTTAGGTAATTTTCATATAAGAAGTCGTACCACAAAGGTAGCTGTTAACTGAGCTTTCATTTTTGAGGATAATTCAGAAATTCTTGACGTCCTAGATTTTCCTAAGCTTCTGTCTTTATGTAAGCAAGTCTGACAGTATTTTTCGTTTCATGTTCTACCTCATTATGAACCTAAATTTAGTATTCCCTTTGTCTTTTGAATCGGATCGCGATAATTTCATAATGCTGGTTGTTTGGCTTGAACCATTTTCCCCATTATATACTCAGAGAGGAAAGTGAGTCGGTTCTGGAGCTAAAGGGTCTCACACCTAACGGAATGCTACCTTTGGGCGCGTTATCTGGTGGAAAGGAGTCTCTCAAGATCGGTAAGCTGTGTTCGTTGTTTGTCCCAGATTTCTACGTATGTGTTCATACATTGTTTTCTCTTATCAATGCAGCTGCCTAGTTCGCGTGCTCGTCTCTTTCATGCTTACATATTGTAACCTTTTTTGCTGTTTATATTTCCAGCTCTATGTGGAATATCGCCTGATAGTAAAACAACTCGGTTTGAACAAGCACGAGCGATTGATCAGATCAACGAACGCATGCCACCTAGACGTGAGCCTGGTGCCACACCACTAATCAATCTCGCCACAAGCGGTTCCACTGGGCGCACGTCGCCGTCCAAATCATCCGAGCGTCGCACCTACTCCAACAGCATGGTTGGTGCAGAGGCCGGTTCACGTTCGAGCTCATCGTCGTTTGCTAACCGTGGCTCCTCCGGCCTCGGTCGGACCAGTATTGATCAAGGAGATGCTTCTCACACGACTACTCCTGGCGGTACTGGTTTACGATCCTCTAGCAACGGCGTCACTCCCAGCGGGAGCGGGCGGATTCCATCAAATTCCGGTGACCCGCTAGCCAACGCGAAGAGTTATTCCTCAGCCAACCGCGGTTCTGGCGAGTCTGGAACGACCATCTCTCGAATGGGTTCCAGCGGTTCCAACCCCAGTGGCAGTGGCAAGTGATCGCGTAGGATAATTTGAGTGCTGTTCGTTTATTTGCCGAATGATCGATTTCTCCTGAGAACGGAGATTGTCGCGTACCGGATGCGTGTATTTGGTTGAGTCCATGTACTTGTGGTATGGTGATCCAGCACGAATTCGACCTGTTGGAGTACCTTAGGTCCCCAATCATTGACTCTCTCATTATCTGTCTCCTCATCCAGATGCACGATCCTCTCATTTGCCAGCGGCGTCAATACCATCGCAACCACCACAGCTGTCTTTCTGTTCCTGTTTCGGCAACTTATCGTCGGACGGGTGTCACAGTATACATGTACATCCACCTGTGTACATGCGTACCCAGTTGTTTGGCCTGCGGGGTTCAGGCAATCATGCTCTTTTCATGTTCGTCTATGTTACTCGTCCCTCGCTCTCTCCTTGCACTCGCAATCCACGTAAATACTGCTTTCAACTCCACTGATTCTTCATCTCATACGTCATGTTCCTGTCCTGTCCCCTTTTCTACCGCGAAACCACGATTTTCCGTGCTGCACTTTGTCGTTTGCTCTGGTAGTTTTCCTATTTCTCTCTCTCTCCCTTCATACTCCTTTCCATTCTCTTGTTCTATTTGCCACCAGCCGCTGTAGGAGAACACTGCCTTGAATGTAACTCTTAAGCTCATAGTTTGTACATTAACCTTATGCTTTTCTCTCTCCATTGGTTACGTTTCACCCTACTTTGCGTATGACTATTTCTAACTTTTTGTTCTTGTTTTGATCTGCGATTCGAACTCTAATTTTGCTCATTTTATTCGAAGATGTTAACATACCGTGAACCACAAAAGGGACAATATAAATTATTGCTCTATGTTCAGTTCCTTCTCACTTACCCTTCATATGCTTCTTTTCTCCGATATTTCCTCCTACGCGTACGAACTGTCCCAGGGGCCTTGACCCTGTGCATCGTGATTCCTTCTTGTTTTATTCCCTAAACTAATACACGCGATTGGTTTCTGTCTGCCTGTGTCTGTCCTTTACAGATGGTTTCGCGATCTACTATGTGAATGCCCATGTGTTCGCAGTTTTCATTCACATTCTCTTACTTACCTATATGATGAACAACAACAACTCTGTTGTTTGTCCATATTCATCTGTCCGTATGTGTATATCTGCCCTCAATCCACCCGTTGGCGTTCAATGCAACCGTGCTTTATTTCTCATTTTGCGCTCGACCCTGAATTCGTGTGCCTATTTCCGTTAACACCCACCCCCTCATATACCTCTTGCTCATGAACAAGTTGAATTTCCTCTTCACTTTCAAACAGTTATCTGCTACTCCTCCAAGGCACACAAGACCACGCCTCTCTTGGGAATGAAGTTTGCACAACTCTCTGGCATAGTAATCTCAATCAAAAGTCGTATGATTTTGTTCGAACAGTGTCTACCTTTTGGGTTCGGACTTATATTGTTCTTCATGTATTCTTCATTCAAATCAAATTGCGTTTCCTCTACTTTATGTTTGCTTCAACGGGTTGCGGTTTGGATTATTTCCGCACATTAGCACTGACTTATTTCCTCAAACTTTCGCTGATTCCTGTTTCTTTGAACCATTGGGATGGGTATTCCAAGTGGGTTCCGTTCAGCCTTGTCTCCCTTGCTCCTTTATTNACTAAACCAATCTTCCCGACCCCCTAGCTACCCTGTTTCACCGGCGGCGATCAACTGGATTCGGCGTTGTCATGGGCTCTTCTCTTCTGTGTCAGTGTTTTTTCAGCACTTTCCTTTTTTTGT